CTTAGCTTGTTCTAAGTAGGTGCTTTAGACCACTGAGCCATCTCACCAGCCCAAGTGTTTTTTTTTGGGTTTTTTGCGCCGAATGCCTTCAAGGCATGACTGGCTGTCTTGTGTTGTGGGGATCGAACCACAGCAACCTGAGCCTAACTGCTTTGTTGAAGCAGCCACTTAAAGAACTGAGCTAAGGGGCAGGCCCCTCAGAGTGACTTTAGTATGCCTCTAGAGTTTGGAGTTCATATTTTGAGTAGAGCAGTAAAACATTTTATATATAACCATGTGTTATAAACATCTTTTAGTGTTCTAGAAAGAAAAAGGTGGCATAGTCTCTAGTAGAACTATAATAATAAGAAAGATACCTAGCAATCCTTTAGAAGTGAAAATCTCCTTAGGTTGCTTATACTGTTGTAATTAATATCTAATTATTAAAGAATGGCATGATAGGTGCTATGAGGTAACTGCAGAGCCTGAGTTCTGAAAACAGCCTGCTTTTTCCAACATCACACCATGGTAAGGCAAATAGGAAGGTAAGCTCATCACGTGGAGCACAGTGAGCATCTCGGGTGGAGACCTTCATCTACAAGCTTTATCCTGTTTGACTCACGTCCAGAATAGTCCTGCTGTTGTTATTTCCCTTTGTCTGATAACTAAATTAATCTTTCTTGATATTTCATTTAAGCATTTTGAAAGTTTGTTCAAATTCACAACTTACCATGAAAACTGTTTTCAATGAAAGGTTACAGAAGAATTAGAAAAGGTAAAACAAGAAATGGAAGAGAAAGGCAGCAGCATGACGGATGGCGGTGAGTACCACTCAGCTCAGGAGGGGAGTGAGGTGTGCGGCAGCACCGGCCCTGCCGGGCTCCTTCCTGGGCCAGCAGCAGCGCCGATGAGTGCGGAGCTGGCCCTTCAGAAAGAGCTGTTTGCTCCTTTTGTCAAGAGGGTTGCATGATACAAAAGTGCCACGTGATAATTGATATGCAGTGTTCCCATATAAATCTGCTAAAAGGAGTAGTTTTTCACTAACATTTGTGGGATTTTAAAAAATCAAACTGATTCAAAAATAGAGAAATATTTAAGTACGTACTTTGTTCTGCCAATTTAAAAAAATAACATTTTGTGTTCATGAAATGAGCTTCTTTTTTCCACTGTCTGTACAAAAGAGCACTAAGTATATGGCCAGAGGACACTAAGGCCATGATGTGGTAGCCTGTTTTATTTTTTAGCTCCTTCTCAGAAGACCTAATTGGGCAGAGGTCAAGTGGAAAAGAATTAATAACCTAATAATTGTCCTCCTTTGTGAGCTAGTTACTTCAGCATGGGCTGGTAGGATTTGCTTAATGTTTTTATATGCCCTAGAAAGAGTTTCTAGTGTTCTGATATATACTAAGGAGGTGTTTAGGGGCTTTTTTGTTCTAAATAGTAATTCTCACAAGGGCGGGGGTTCGATCCCCAATGTGCCATGCTGGCCCCGCCCCAGGGGTGCACTGAGACAGCAGCAATCTAGACTGCGTGTGGTGGCGCTTGCCTGTAATCCCAGCACTTGGGAGGCTGTAAACAGGAGAATCATTAGGAGTCCATTCTATGTGGTGAGACCCTGTAGATTCTGTAGACCCAGCCCTAAATACAGGAATAAATAAATACAAAATAGTAATTCTTCCTTTCTGTTTCTCCCACTGTGTCCACTTTCCCAGCAGCCAAATATACTCACCCATAAAATCATGCTGAACATGTCCTTAAATACCCGCTTAGTAACTCTTTCCCTGGAAATGTTCCTAAGTTCAGCCTCAGGACATCATTTCCCATCCTGAAAGTCTCAGGTGTTTAAAAGGCCACAGGAAAACTGTGAATGTCAGTGAGTTGTCAGCTGTGATTTTAACCCTATTTTTGGCTTAAGACAAAGTGAGGAAAATGTCACACAATTCTATAATAACAAATAAACATCTTCATCCCATGCTGCTGTTTTTTTTTCCAGCTCCTTTGGTGAAGATTAAACAGAGCTTAACAAAACTGAAGCAAGAAACCATTCAGATGGACATTAGAATCGGCGTTGTAGAGCACACATTGCTCCAATCGAAACTGAAGGAGAAGTCCAACATGACTAGGGACATGCACGCAACAGTTATTCCAGAATCAACAATAGGCTCTTATTAAAAACATAGTGTTTTTCATGCTTCTGATTAGTTGGTTTTTATATTAAATTTTATTTAATGTTACAGAGATCCTAAACACAGATAAACCTCGGCAACATGTTCAATAGGTAGTTTGGGGTATTATATACACGTTTTATATGATGGTGATTATGACATAAAACAACTTTGAATATAATGTTTAATAAAATAATGAAAAATTCTGATGTTTAAAGAGCCTTTCACTAATCATTTCCTATCTCAGAAATTCCTGGAAGCTCACTCTTGGTGTCCTTTTGTGACCCTGTGTACGTGGCCTATGTTCTGTAGGTGTTCCTGCTGTCGCCGCTGCACCACCAACACAAGGTTGGCCCCTCTGCTTCAGTCCCCCTCTGTGTGACCCAAGTGCTTCTGTGCCTGGAGGATCTGAGGAGCCCAAACTGCCCCTTCCAGGCACCTTCAATTACCAGATTTTTAAAGTTTTTAAAAAGTTCAGTATCCTCATTAACATTTAACTTTAGTATTTCTCCAGAGCAAAGCCCCTCATTAAAAATTAATTTAGTCACATGTAACTCTACTCCTAGAATGAGGAAGAAGTGAGTGCACCAATGTCGTGGCGCCACCCTCCTTCCCAGCTGTGCTGTGGCCGTTTCTCAGGTGCAGCCGTGACAGGGCACGTGAAGGGCAGCCTGCAGTCCTGGTGATTCCGGCTTCTCACTGTGCAACTCTAAAAACTGTCGAAACAAGGAATATTAGAGTACCAGCCTTAGAGCAGGAGAAAACAAGTTGAAGCAGAAGATAGCCTACTCTGTACTTTCTCTAGAGTAACAATCAATACAAAAATATGTGTAATTATATAGCTAGATCTACAGATCAGAGGCTGGATAGTCCAGTGGTACCCTGCAGACCAAAGGAGGAGGAATCCACAGTGCCCACCTGTGTGCTTGAGAGCTGGAGGGTCCAGCAGCTGCTCAAGAAGATGCAAGCTGCAGAACTAGAGTGACGGAGGATGCAAGGCCAGTCTGCATGGGAAGGCTGAAGGTACTAGCAACTGATGTCCAGAGGTGATGGCCAAAATCAGAGTGCTTGACAAATAAGCGCTTTCTCTTTCCATACCATCCAGGCTATACGGTCATTGTTTGGTGGCACCCACATCCAGGTGGGTCCTAGCCCCTCAATTTGCTGGCCCAAGGTCAGTTATCACATACTTGAAACTGCTTTACAGATGTGCTAGGAATTCATAGTGCATTCATATTGACATAGCATGATCAATGTTTGTGTCCACCTTGCTGAAAACACTCATGACAAATGTAAAGGATTGCCATGTCACCTTCCCCAAGACTGAAGTGTGACTGTTTACTTCCCAGCCCTGTGGGATATGTAGGGCTGACCTCCTAAGTGGGCCTTCTGTTTAATTAGTGAGTGAATGTGACCCAGGTTGTGTGCACATCTTCATGGAAGCAGGCAGCTGAAAATGGACTAAGGAGCTTATCAAAGGCTGTGGTTGGGGTCAGATGAGCTGTGACACCACGGGGCTAAGACGAGACGGCAGCTCCATGGAGGCCTGCAGGACTACATACAGCGCACTTGTTTGTTAACCATAACCTACATCTGGCTGTTCCAGCCCCTTCCATAGGAACCTTTGTCCCCTCTGTTGCCAGCCTGGCTGCTTGTCTGCCACATCCAGTCATTGTCCCCTCACCATGTTCCTCAGTGAATACTGAGGTTCTGGGAGCCCCTTGGCCTTTTGTTCCCTGAGAGCAGCTGTCCACCCCAGATCCCCGCCTGCACCTCTATTTTCTCTTGCTCTTTCCCACTATGCACAAACACATGGCAAGAGACTGAGGACTCACTACAGGGGTCCCGATAACTGCACCATGGAAAGGGTCTCCCATACACAACTCTTGATGAAAATGTTTTACATTTAGGACAAAAATAATATTTTTAATCCTAATAATTTTCTCCCTTGAATTTATTTTTTCTCAGCATTTATTTTCTAGCCTCATTATCCCAGTACAAACACAAATCTATTTTCCCTCAAACTGAGTTTAGATAAAAGAAAATTGATATATATAAACTGTTACCCAAGAGAATGACAATTTTAAAAGGACAAGCCAGTTTACCTAATTTGTAAAGAAGAAAGAAAAAAAATCCATAGTGAGATAATGGGAAATATGAGCGTCTGACATTATCTTCCTTCTTTATGGTCATTGGGAAGAGCCTCGCAGAAAAAGATAAAGCATCCTAACTTTTGGTCCTCAGAACTGATTTGCATAGGTGTTCTCATGGTTGAGCAGTATTTTGATTAACTCAAGGCTGAGAGCCCTTCTAGATCAATCAGAGCTTTCCTTAAAATGTTTTTTCCCAGAAGCCAAGTGCTCTATTTTGTGCAAACACAAAAATATTCTTAAGAATTCTTCAGCATATGAGCAGCCTATGTTGGTTTTCTTCTCTGAAATAATCCAATTTCTTGGACTGGTGGTGGGCCCCTCCCTCTTTCCACAGAATATTGCATATACTTGGATAAAGTATTTAAACTGCATTGCAGTTTTTCCTCCTGTCCTCCCTAAGGGATTATGATGCCTGAGAGTATGGACAAAATCACTTCATTTCCATTCAAGCCACGCCTAAGTGTCTAATAAGTAGGTAGAAAGTAGACAGGTGATCGGCATTGTGTAGTTCCCATATCTTCTAGTTCCTGTTTTATAGCATGAAGAATTTAATGGCTTTTAAGCCTGTGTGTTTGGGATAATAATTAAAGTTGCAGTTTTCTCCTGTGGTATTTGGATTAGAATGGGAATCCAAATTCATTTAGAATCCAAATTCAAATCCAAATGAATCATAATTCATTTTTTTCCTGCCTACTGTGTTTTCCTGAAAATAAAACCTAACTGGAATGACCTAGCCAGATCCATCCTTGGCTGGTTATTACCATGGTGATGGCTGGTGTCATTCAGCAGGTTGCACTTCATTATTCTCCAGCTGTATGGATACTCTGTGATGGCAGAGAAGGCAAGGATAGGCTGATTGAGGCTGGCATTATTGTTCCAGAGTAAGTCTTACTTTCAGGAAAACACAGTATAGGTCAGTAAAGCCTTACAATATAAG